CCGGTCGGTAGCTCCGCATGAGCAAACCTGCCGAGCACCGGTCGGTAGCTCCACATGCTGTTCACAGTGCTCACTTCGGCCATCTGGCTGCATGCATCACGGTACTGATTTGTCAGGTCTATTCAAACGAGAAAGACCGCCTGTCTGCCATATTTGTCTAGCTTTTGTACGTGCGTGGGATAGGGATGATGCAGTTTAAAAGTAGACACCTTTTGTTTTAAGGTTTTTTAGGCGACCGAGGCCACTTCACGACTTCCCATAACCCTGACCTTTGATGGCCTCACACTTACCATTTTGACGTGTGACGATGACACCAGCACACTTTGAAAGGTGTACACTGGCAATACTTTGGGAGGCTTTAAAGACTTGCGAATGACACGACCTTGACGTCAACACACCCTAGCACCACCACCGATACATCCCAGTCAGCTTGGCTCGTGATGTAACGGACATGGAGTCTAACTTCACACAATAGACGAGACTTGACCTGTGCCCTTCACCTAGGTTCAGCTCAAAAAAGATAAAAGTATCGATGACCTCCAAGACGTTATCATTTATTCCTTTGAGCGACTGGATAAAGAACTGCTCATGTACTTGGCTAAGAATGAGTTACAGAGCGGCGGTTTTCCACGCTTTTTGTTTCGGAGAGGGGGCGGCTTTGCGAAGCTTTGAAAAATGATGCTACGGTTCTATGACCTGATGCGATATGCGCTTTAAGCTTACAAGTTACATTTGAAGGGTTGAAACAACATTGGTTCAAATGTCACCATGGTGCACGAAATGTTTCGAGAGATATTGCAGAAACATTGGAGGGAGGGCTCATCCTATTTCCATTTCCCGCATATGTATCCGATGCTGGCGTGTAATAAGAGCAAATGGCATTCGCACATGAGCAAATGTTTCTTCAACACGCAATGTTCCCTTGGTGGAGCGGTGTCACCTGTTCTCGTCCCCCCCCCCCCCCCTCTATATGTGGTCGTATCTTCCCCGCCGGCGTGACACGGCCAGCTCGCGGTGCGTCCGGCCGTTCATCGCTTGACGACAACGCTTCGAAAGACGTCAGCGCGCCCATCGGGTGGGCGGGGCGGGCGGCAGGTGTACAGCATTGGGGGGAGGGGGGACGCCGCTGCCTGCTGTCGTCATGCGCCGGCCGCGGCCGTTATGGCGCGTCTGTCCTCCCTCGCTGTCCGAATGCCCGCAGCTCTCAGCATACAGAGAGGGCTCGCTGTCGGAACATTTCAAACGGCGACCCGACAAACGGCGGCCTCCCTGACGTCAATCAAATTTAACAGAATATACATATATGTAATATAATAATAAATATATATTTTGTGCATATGATGAGCTAATTTTAGTTGTAAGGAAATAAATAATGTTGTTTAGTTTGTTGTCATGGTGGCCAGAAACTGTTCTTGCTCTGGAACTTTGGGAACACTGGGACTTGAGAACAAAAACATTGCCCGGGACGCACTTTGCTGCTCAGGCAGCATGGCGTCACTGGCTTCTCACCCCTGAAATGAAGCCCGGAACTCTAGTTTCCCAGACATTAATCTAACATTCTAACCTATTTTTGTCGAGCACCGGGGACAAATGACTTGCAAGACCAGCCTTGACCTTGTATAATTCATTCATACGTTTTGTTATGTGCGAGCCACGAGCCAAAACTACCAAAACGAGCCACGAACCAAAACGAGCCAAAACTAGACGTACAACTTACGTGGGACGTTTTATGTAGTTATTCATGGTTTCCTTTTCCACGGACCGACGACATTGCAAATCACATGTGGTGCAGGATGTAGAGTACATGGGTCCACATGTAGGGTGCAATTGCGCTTCCTTCATGTTCTCAGCGACAGCTTTTACATCAGTCCTGATAAATCTAACAAACTGTCAGCGGAGGATAGCTGAGCAGGATGACATTTCCCGGTAAATCATGTATTAAATAAATGTCCAGGTAGCAAACTTGTTACTCCATTACAGAATGTCATTGGTCAGTGAGATACACACCTCGCTCATCCGTCCTTCTTAATGTAGGCATTCGAAGCTCCTTTCCTCGCTTTAGGTCGTGTTGATCCAAGATGCACACTATTAGCCAGTTTGTTTTCTTTCCTGTCAGGGTCAGTCACATAATGCTACTAGGCATTATTTAAATAGCATTTGTCGTTTAAGGTCATTTTATCAAATGTCAACTCCTCTGACAGTCGTTAAGCCAAACGAATTTTCCAAGACCGTGACCTATTCTCAACCTCTCCCAAACCGCGGGCTTATGCAATTCGTGGTATGCTTTTCAATTTACGTCTAAGCCTATGAATCTGTTACGAAGTTGATCGCCCAATTAGCTACCAACTACGAAAATGATGACGCAGTTGACAGAATGGGGACGGTTGATACAGCTAAGAGAGTTATGGTCATGTTCAGTTCCTATAAACGACGAGAGGAGTCCGCGCTCCAAGACATGAAGTTAGACCAATCAATTATCATGCGGCGCGCAGGTCAACGTTCCGAAAGAGCTATCCTTAAAAACAGCACACCAATGAGCAACTGTACGTAGAACTTGAAGGCAGCTGAAATTATCGGTGGACGGAGATGGGTCTCATACTTCTAAAGTGCGTGCAAAGTTGAAACATCCCGTCATCAAGATGTGCAGCGAAGGCTGCACGTTAAGACACCGGGTGCGCTGTATGGTAGTAATCATCCCCCAGTCTGGCAGCATCCAAGACAGTGTTACTATCTAGACAGTGGTACCCCATAAGTTGTGGTTCTCCATACTACTCCAAGGCGGTGGTGTTCTATAGATAGTGATGCTCTCTGCACCACTATCTGTCTGCGTGGCTGCACAACTATCTGTACCACTATCTGTCTGTGTGTTAGTATCACTACCTATACCGCTATCTGTGTGGCTGTACCACTATCTGTGCCACTGTCTATCCCTGTGGTTGTATCACGATCTTTACTACTATTTATCTGTGTGATTGTACCACTATCTGTACCACTATCTATCTGTCTTGCTGTACAACTATACGTACCACTATCTATATGCGTGGCTGTGCCACTATCTGTACCACCACCTGTATGTCTACGCTGCTACCTGTAATTCCACCCGTGTGGCTGTGCCACCAAGTAAAAATTACAGAGAATCATTTAACGAGAAGTATATTGCTGTTCACCTGCCATTCTTTTTCTGTTTTCGTTGTAAGTCCACCGATTGCCAATATGAATTATGGAGCTATGTTTTTTTCATCTTCGCCCGACGAGGGGACCAGAGAGGCCCATGAAAATTCGAGAACTAAGCAAACTAGAGATAGCAGAAAACGCTTCTGAAAAGCTTCTGCTAAACTGTATCAGATAGGCTTGTCCGAGCAAAGGTGAACGTAGCTTTTGTTAAGTCAAACCAGGTCATAGAGATCATATTAGCACTTCAATGACTCCCTACTGTTCAGAGACTGTCTCAAGACTGTCTGCTGTCCATCCTACTGTTGTCTCAACAAGTATACGTGCTACGACAACGCGGAAGGCGATGTTGAATAGCTCGTGAGGGGTTCTATCAGAAAGACACCAACGGAAATCGACGCATGTGACCTGTAATGAGTCACCCCAGGCAAAAGGGTAAAGGCGGCTGTTACACTAGCCCATGTGGCTATATCAATAACTGAGAGAGCCACATCAATAGGGAGGACAGGATAAGAAATACATTCAAAGGCCGTAAGATATGTTCCATTAAGGTTTAAATCGTGCGATCTTTAAACAGTAAATCTGGTCACAAATTACAGTTTGGCCTCGTATGACCTTATCGTATAGATGACCCAATCTGTACATTATAGTGGCCGAAAATCTGGTCCGTCCCGGTGGCTCAGTTGGTAAGAGCGCCTGCCCTCCGGTCCACCCACCCGTGGCGGGGTGGGTTCGAGCTGCTTTAGGGCGCTCGCTATTTGCTCTTGACAGGTATGGCCTGCGTCCGGTGGCAGCAGCGGTCGCGCTTAAGGTCAGGTGACGTCAGGGCACAGGACGGACCGTGCCGACCATTGCGGCACGTTAAGCTTTCGCCATTAAATTCTGCCGTTGCCTGGCAGTAAGCGAACGAGTGGTGGGGATCGGGACTCACACAACAAGCACTGCTTAGCGTGAGCGCTGATCCCAGAAATTCATCCATTCAAAGGGTTCTAATCAAATTTATTTTAAAAAATCTTGCTTAAGTTAATAGACCGATGGGAATCAAATTAAGAGTTATCTAGATGAGAAGAGGAACCTTGAAGTCTAGAGCCTAGGCACGGTATCTGCGAGGAATCGCACGATCTGTCGCTTTTGAGCAGGTTGTCATCAACATTTCCTCCAGAAGAACTCATGGACCATGAACTGTGAACACATAATGCTTTTAATCCACAGCATGTGTAAAATTTCGATGCTCAACACTTATTAGCATCGCAATCAAAATCGTTCCTAAACTGCTTCGGAAATTTTAGGAAGGCACTTGGAGCCCCTTCAATCCAAACATTTCGCGAGTCAATTTGGCCATGAAGATTGGTTTACTGCAATCCTTTTTGGTGGGTTTTGGGGACAGGAATAGCACTTAGCAATTGCAAGAAATGCAACATTTTCGTGGTTACATGCAGTAACACTGGGGCTTCTGCTGGCACCCAAAAAGTGATTGCAGGGCTTCGGTACCACCCGGCCAGGTGTCCATTAATCTTTGAAAAGCTTTGTCGTGATGGGAAGCGACCTGTTGCTGTTCTCCAGGTTTTGCATTGATCGTTGCTGATGCGAAGCATGATTTGCTCATATCATTTACCGCCATCCCGAGCTTCAAACTTCTTTATTCTTCGTGAACCACGCTTGTGGCATGCATCGTTCATGTCCGGTGTTCAAGTAGGCGATGAACTCTGAACTCTAAGTGCAAGGGTCTATGCGTAGAGGCCACCACCGTCGCCCAGACCTGGCGCAGATCCAGCGGGCGTTGGGCACGGGGCTTTCTGTGAGCAGTCAGCTGGCGCCAGCTGGATTGTGACACTCAAGGTCGCACTTGGCAGCGCACCTGGATGCCTCTGGATGCAAACAGTGATGGGGAGCACAGTAAGTGCATGACGAAGAACTAAGGGATAGCGCCAGGTAAGCCCATTTACACAAAATGGCGCAATGGGGCCACAGGATCACTTCCAAATGAACATCCCCAGGGATATCTCAGGAGCAGAAGCAGGCAATATCCACGTCGGTGATTACCGAAGCTCTGTAAAGGCCGGGGAAGACACCGCGAAGGGTCAGGGAGGCACGAGGCAGAAGTTTGGCATGTGCATGTTTCGACTGTTCCATTTTCCATTCGTCGCTAATGGCTACAGCATGCGTGAGATCTCCCCCTGCTTTTGCGATGCCTTTGCCGTATACGACAGCAGGTCCACGAATTACGTCATGCCTCAGGTACCTGGCTGTTGGTAAGCATAACACGGTGCATAAAATATAAAACTTTAATACAGTGACAGTGCTGAAAACATCAAATGGGCCGAAAATTTGTTAACAATAGCTGGGTAGCACTGATCATTTGCTAGATTCCTCACAGTTCAATAGTTGTTCGTTTCGGCGGTGAACGATTTATTCTGCCTACTGATACATAGAGCGAAGGAAAGGGGTGCGGTTTTTTGGTGTCCAGTTTTGCAGTAAATAAATATTTTGTGTTTAGGACAGGTCTGCCTTGCATACGTAAACTGAGGCTCAACACGTGGTTGAGATTCCTCGCATCACAAAGATAACTCCAGCATGGTGGCAGTGCGTGCATGGTACGTAAAATACAGCCCTGTCCACGATCCCGCAGTCAGTTAGGTATAGACCCCAAGGTTTGTCGAGGATAACGGCTTTATGATGTGAGCTCTGTAAGCCGCAACCACAAGCAATTCTGGCATGGCTTGATAAGTCGGGTAACTCCCTGAACCCCGCAGCTCTCTCTCCCGGAAAAGTGGCGGGTATTGCAACGCCTGAATGGAGATAGAAACAAACTTGTTTTCTCCTGCATGACTCGTTTAGTGTCCGATGAATGCTTACACAGATTGTGCTTAACATTTCTGTGTGGTTTCGTTACGGCTTATGTTCCCTCCTAAAATGATATCAAATAAAAGCATCACTCACTGTTCGCATGTTCAGTGGTACATATGAAAAGATGCAGCAGGTTTACAAATTGCGGAGTCCCACGAAGTTCGGAACCAGCTGCCATAGATAAACGCCCCGACGTTTTTTTGGACCCTTATCGCATTTTCATCGATCGCTCCGCCATCTTGCATATCTTGCACTCCGGCACGGGGGTGTATGACGCGAGTATGCTTACTTATTAGTGTGTCATGGATGAACATGACAAGGTTATGCAGGATGGAGTGTCTGATGTCAGAGCTGCACGCACATCTTTTTTATTCATATTTGTCACCCAGGGCTGTTAACCCGCGTCTGGGGGGGAGCTGACTCCCCCTTACGTTTTCTAAGCGCAGCTCAAAAAGGACTGCACGCATCAATGCCAGGCTTTTAGGAATTGTTTATCTATCAATTTGGCCACATTTGTAGGAATTTGACATTTTTATCTGCCAAGGTCAGTGACCTGGGTCAGGTCAAATCTCTAAAAAAAACGTTGACCACGCATGCTTGTTATGGGTTATTTACCGATTGTTAAACTTACTGAAGTATTGGAACATGATAACACCAACATTTTGTTGGTTTCAGCTTTTTCGAGACAGGTGAGGTCAGTGGCCTGAGTTCCGGTCAATTTTTGCATTTTTGTAAATAAGTTAAACACGTAAGCATTTTTGAGAATTTTTGGTGTCTGTATTTGAGGAAGCGAGTGCTAACTCACATGCACCACTATCATATGACCACAGAGCACATGGCCTCGGGCCAGATCATGACCTACCTCCATGGGTGCCTTCCGTGAAACACATGTTGGGCTCAAATTAGGCAGCAATATAATGTTATTTTGGGCGTAGCATTCGAATATTCCGCTGAAAACATGATGATGTGGGGGCGTGGGTTAGCATTTAAGAGACCCAGTAGCTGAACCAGTCACATGAATGGGGAAAATAGCGTTAGAAAGACCTCCGAAACTTGGAAGATATTTGTCAATAGGCTTTGATCGTATGCCATTGACAGGTCGAATCTGCTTGCCAAGGTCGAAGTTTGATCTAGCTTGATGTCAAATAGCCTGACAATGGAAAACCAGGTAGAACGATTAGAATACACTTAAGTGACGCAAGTAGTTAAGCGTATCGTTTGACGTGCATTTCCTGCTGAAATGGGCGGAGTAGAGCAGCGAGAGAGATCATTATTGTCAAGCAAAATATCACCGACATGGCCTTGAACAAAAGGTAAGATCATGAACTGCGGAGGTCAGGTAAAAAATTTCAGTAAACGGTTATCAGTGTTGTTAACACAGCTAACTCACATTTCAGCATTGCCCTCAGAAACATCCTGGTCATCCTGAGGACAAAATTTTCCGTCACTCTTTAACAGGTGGTCGCCTGAGATGGTTCTCAAAACAAACAGAAAACAAGTAGTTCACTTTTCGCTACGTGCCAGGTGCTAGAATCTTGCTAAATGGGTGCCTTGTGTGGACCTCCCTCCATACTCCAAAGACGCTGAGGGTCTGGTCAAGATGTTGGTCTGAACTAGTTATTACACTAATTACACCTTCGGCCACATTGGGTGCGACGTGCTGGCCAAGGCCATCATGTCAACACCAACACGTCGTTCACAACCATAGCCTAGACGGTTGATAGCGCTCCAGGTCCTGAGCTTGAATGCATTTCGTTTTTCGACTTATTGCGAGGCGGGCTACTTGATAAGCCACGTGATTTTAATAGAGGGAATTACAACGCTGAAGGGCAACGGCCTGTACGTCAACCGCAGCCACCGCTTCCAGTCGGTAATTGCTTGAATGTGACGGCGCACGCAGCATGACGAAACGGGCCAAATTTTCGCTCAAGTAAAATTGTGACAGCCCAGCGGTTTTGACATCACAAATATCATGCCTTGGCCACTCGTTGACTCTTAAATTACGGTCCGTCTTCTTCCTATAGTTATTCGAGTCGCAAAATTCCCTTCCAATGCTTTTGCCGCATCTTATAACTTTTTTCACCACTCATGATCAGGTCATCTAGACAACGTTTGGCTATATGCAGTGCAATGTATATAGTGATTCAACGCGAGAAAAATGGAACCTGCATGGTAAATTACGCCGTGCACGTATTCACCAACCTAATTGGTGAAGTAACACTCTTACATGACATGTGCTTTTCTACCATACATTTCCTTGCACTATGCAATAATTCCGAAGCCCGACATTCTCTACCTTGCTTGCCGGCTTTCTTTCCCTGCATGCCGTCGATGATGCAATCAGCAGACCTCTGACGGCATGCGCTGATTCTCAAATCTGTTTGCCATGTTCTGTATATGACATTTGGATTCTGGACTAGCTGATAATCAGCATCAGCGTGATGTTCGATTCAATCATTTCAAGCGTACATTAATTGTATTGCATGTGCAGATAACAGACTGGCATCGCTCAAACGACAATCTGGTAGCATCAAAGAGCTGTTCCAGAAGCATGACGTAAATATGTTTACGGCAAACTATATTTGAGAACTCACCTACGCAATATTCCAAACAGACGACTGAACCAGCTGGCGAAACCTACGCGCAATGGGGTGCGGCTAGTAACCTTCATGGTAAAGCGTCATAAGCCCAAGCATGATAATTTGTTTGCGTAGGCCTCTACCTTCCACTCGACCCACCTCCGTCCTCAGCATGTGCCGCCGGCGCAGCCCGCCGCGCCGGCGCGCCACGTGACCGCCCGAGGCACCTCGTGCGCTCGGTCGTGTCACGCTTGCATCAGCTGCTGCGTCTTGTTTACGCGCCGGGCGGCCGGCGGGCATGCGTTGGGTCTGAGGCTTTCTCCGGCGCTAATCGCGTCTGCATCTCTGGCCTTGACATTCCGCCGGGTGCGCGGGTGCCGGCGGCTGTCGCCGCCGGCGCACGCGCCCGATCGGGAGTGCTCCCTTTCCGGGGTATGGTATGCGGCGCTGCCGCTGGCCGCTCGCTGCGCGCGTCATGCGCTTGCCGGCGCGTGCGGCCGCCGGCGCCGCTCGGGGTGCGCCGGGCCGCACGCACTACGCAGCACGCAGCGAGCTACGGCCGCAGGGAACGGTGGGGTGCGTTTGCTCGGCTGTGTGCTACTATTCCGGTGCAGGGCTGACATGCGGAAGTGTTAGCGATCAATGTTGGATATGCTCTGCACGAGGTTTAATAGCGCTGGCAACGGCGCGGGCCAAACGCCCGTGCCGTTGCCAGCGTTTAATGACGGAAGGCGGCAGAGGCGATGCCCCTCGTTGAAGTTGCGCGCTGACTCAGGGACGGTGAGTGGCAACAGGAGATTTGCCTCCCAGCTTGCCTTTGCCTTTCCAGTGAAGTTCGGCAGTATTTTCTAGCTTCAAAAGAATAATTTCTGATCAATGTATTCCTGTCAATGGGCGCTTGGTCGCTATACACGCATGCAAAAACTAATGCTGCAAATTTGTCGGCAGGCTGCACCAGCACTCGGTAGCTGCCCAAACTAATTGGGTTAAGATCACCTTTTTGCGGCTTTTTTGCCACCACCAGGTCCGTGCAAACGCCAAATAAGCAACAATGCCTTGCACACCAACATTTTAAATAGACGGGAGCGATCCTACGATCACTCGATCAATCCTACGATCAATCCTACGACTTGTCTGTTTCAAAATAACACAACTAGGTTCTCGTGGAAAAGAACAGTGAATTAGCCTCAACGGGGTTTTGTTATTGGTCGCAAGCTGTGCGTTTTTATGTCAATAATTGATTCCACGAGGCTAGGCCAGAAGTAAACCCAAAATATTCCATTTCAGCTCTATATGCTCTCATTTACGAAGCCGTACAACACGGGAAAATATGACGGATACATGTATATTTTTTGTATAATTACGAACATATGAATATGGCGTGCCGGGTGTGTTTCGGGGAAATGCTGATGATGTAGAGCTCCGGATATGTAAGCATGCTGTCAGTTGTTGTTTAAGAGGACGGCAGCG